CCGCCATCTGCCCGGGCCGGCCCGTTTGCAACTATGCTTTCAGTTGACATAGAAAATAAGAATCTGGAAACTTTCAATATTTCAGATTCAAGATTTCTTAACAACATTTCATTCTCAACACATAAATTCTCAATAAATTCTTTTTAAAAAGGGAAAGTCTGTTATGCGATCATCATTTTTACGCAGTTTTTTTGGTACCCCTTCATATTCCCACTATTACGTAACTCTCTCCTTCTCCTCTCTCATTTTCCTTTCCTTATTTTTTTTCCAAATAAACCTGCCGTTATCTTTATGTTTTTCTGCCATGTTCACCTTCTGAATGATGGCAAAAAAACCCTTCCGCTTTCTTGACAAAAAATCCTGTTCCTTTCGTTTGCGCAGGAAAAATTAAAAGAGGGGAAATCCCCCTACCGAGGACACTGATCTTTATCGATTTTGGCTGTAAAATTGTTCGGCTGTGATTTCTTTTTTTTTGTTCCTTGTTTTGAGAGATTCAGGCTTTTTGCAAATATGAATGGGTTGAAATATTGAGGGTATGAAAAAGTGTGTGACAGATTTGAATCTGTTTTTTTGTGTCTTATGATTTTTGCAATTTTTTTGCAATGCCCTCTGAGGAGTTGAATTTGTGGGCTTACCGATCGAGGTTCCGCACCACAACCGGCTGAGCTACAGTGGCGTCAACTTTGACCTTATTTATCTCGGTTTCTGTAAGAGGTTTCAAAAAATGTTCAACTGATAAAATACTTCTGATACTATGATAAACATTTTGTTAGTTAGTCACTTTTTGATATCTTTCACAGAAATCGAGATAATTGAGCTCAAAGTTGATACCATATCTGCTCTAATAAAGTCCACCGTATACCTGCACTTTATGATCAATTATCTTGGTTCCTATAAGAGATATCAAGAATCTGTCAACTGATAAACTATTAACCATAATATTAATACTATTTTATCAGTTGACTACTTTTTGATATCTCTTAAAAAACGGAGATAAATTGGCTCAAAGTTGATACCGCGGGTTACTCATATGAAGCCCACCCTATGTATTCACTTTGAGCTTAATTATCTCGGTACCCAAGAGATATCAAAAAGCCGCCCACTGATAAAATATTGGTGATATTATGATAAAAAATTTACCAGTTGACCACTTTTCGATACCTTCGACAGGAATCGAGATAATTGACCTCAAAGGTGGCAATTACCTTTCTTCCCTTTTTTCCTTCTATCCCAGGTTTGTACCATATTCTTGATCCACTGTTTTCAAAATTCTACATCTTCCAAACATGATCTTCCCTTAATATGTATGCTTTAATATGTATGCGCCACCTAATTGTTGATTCCTTGCCGTACGCCATGCTTCTTTGATGCTTGACCTTCTAGCGGAAATCATCGACAAAAGGCAAAAACTGTTTTTCAGCTTTTACCAATAGGTGTTAGCTGAACTGAATACGATTTTTTTTGCAAAAAAAGAAGGTATCAAGTTTTTTTGAATGCTATCAGATCATTTGGCGATTTTTGAAGGTTATGCTGGACAGAGAGACAAAGGGATGTTTCTTAGTCACTCAAATTTCAGATTCTTTGAAATCTCAACTTCTAAAAAAACTGTGATTTAACTTTCTTTGTCTCCAGGTATGACCAAAAACTTGCTAAGAAATCGAAGGCCGGAGGGCAGAATGCCAAAAAAATGGGTGTTTCACTTCATCGTCTTATTTACATGTCAATGGTGTCGGTGAACGAAAAAAAAGGGGACGTACACATACATTACAATACCCAATACATTAGAAAAGTGAAACTGATTGGGGTTAAATAGGTGGATGATGTGGGTATTTGGGTTGAGATTCAAGGGGGGATACCAGCGAAAAAGGGTTACCGACAGGATGGAGCAGAACGGAAGAGTTTCCAGACATTAACCAGAGGGAACATTATTGCAGAGCCAGTGAAGGAGCCAATCTGAAATTCTAAATTTTGGCATTTTTTGAACATTTCTGAATTTCTAAATTTCAGAATCTCATTTCCTCAGAATCACAGAATATTAAATTCACAGAATCTCAGAATCTCAGAATCTCAGAACGTCAGAATCTCAGAACCTCGGAATGTGAAAATCTCGGAATGTCAGAATGTCAGATTTTCAGATTTCCAGATTTTCAGGTTTCAGAAATTCAGAATTTTTTTCGTTTTTTTTTTCATTTTTCTTTTAATTCCATGAATCAAATCGGACTTTTCGAATTTTTAAAAATTTTCTGACTTTCTGTATTGTCTGAAAGTTCCACATTATCTGATTTTCCGAATTTTGAATTTTAGAATTTTTTAAAGGTGGGGAGACAGGAGATTTTACGGGGGATTTCTGTGGCCAGAGTATGCATTCTACCGTAACGACGCTTAATGTCACTCTGCGTACAGCTGTCGTCCTCGCCTTTATGTATGCAATCGGGCGGCCGGTTTCTCTTTGTCCGCAAAGTTCAGTCGGTAGCGGCGCCGCACCCTCAATCCTCGCTCCCACAAGTTCAACTCCTCAAGGGACATATTTGAAAGGAATTTCGAGAACATTTTTTTTTTCATGTCTCCCCCACCTTTAATATTTAATTTTTTTTTTGATATTCTGGTATTCTAAACTTTCCAAATTCTAAATTTTCTGAATTTCCAAATTATTGAAATTCAACTTCCAAGTTTTCGATTTTCAAAATTTCGTAATTTCAGGTTTGAAATGAATTTCACAATTCAGGAAATTTTGAAATCTGAATTTTTGAATGTACCTGAATAAATGCTCCACACCAGAACAACCTCGACTCTTTATGATTCCCTTCTCGTAGCAACGCCGCAAACATGACTCTCAAATATGAGTGTAATCCTGCAGCAATCAGTGAACTCGCTATCTGAAATTCCACAACATATTGAATTATCTAGAATTTGAAGCTTACAGATATAGCACTGCCTACAGCTTCCGATCCAAATATCCAATTCGGTGACAGTGCTGCCAAGTAGACTATAACTCCAGTACAAAACGATGAGCATAAAGTGAGGGCTGCTAGAAATGGAATACTTTGAATTTTCAAAAAGAATTGGAGCCATGACGCTAATGGCGAGACCACATTGGCGAGCGTTACTGCATAGTGATAGGTGTTCTAAAATTAATAAAAAAGATTTTTTGTGGTTTTCTGTGTGTCCAGATATCCAGATGTCCTACCTGTGAGTAAACCAACGTTGCATAACTTTGAACACTAGTCACTATTCCATTCATTTGCGCATTCACCAAAGCAGTGGCAATTAGTAAGAATGCTAGACGGGCTCCAGAAGCACTAGTCTCCTGAAAACTGAAATTTATAGGTTGGAATCCTAAATTTTGATGTTGTTACCTGCTTTCCTCCTTTTCCACTGATTCGGCTGGAGTGTCAAGTGTATCAGGAACCACTTTTGTTCTGAAATCTAGGCTCCTAACTTTAAGCCAATTATCTGGGTTCCCATAAGAGATATCAAAAAATTTTTAACAGATAAAATGTTTATCATAATATCAGCAATATTTAATCAGTTGGAAATTGTTTGATATCTTTTACAGGAACCGAGATAACTTATCTCAAAGATAAGGTTTTGGGTGGGCTTCTATCAGCGCATTTACGGTAGCCAACTTTGAGCTGACTTTTCTCGGTTCATATGAGAGATATCGAAAATTTTTCAAATGATAAACTATTTATCATAATATTAGCTACATTTTATCAGTTGAAAAATTTCTGATATCTCTCATAGGAACGGAGATAATTGAACTCAAAGCCTACGCAGCCTACCGTATACATATGGTTGGCTTCATTAGAGCAAATACGGTTTCAACTTTGAGTCAATTTATCTCGGTTCCTGTAAGAGAGATCAAACAATGTTTCACTGGAAACTTGTTCATCATAATATCAGCAATTTTTATCAATTGATCGATTCTTGATATCATTCACAAGAAATGAGAAAAATCAGCTCAAAGTTGATACCGTTAATGCTCTAATAGAAGCTCGCATTACGTACACTTAGATCTCAATTATCTTGCTTTTTTCGGGAGATAGCAAAAAGTGGTCAACTGATAAAATGCTTATCATAATATCATCAAAATTTCTTAGTTAACAGATTTTTGCTATCTGTCATATGAACCGAGATAATTGCGCTCAAAATACACGCATAAGGAGTGTGGCCCCATTAGAGTGTATACTGTATCAACTTTGAGCTGATTTATCTCGGTTCCTGTATTAGATTTCAAAAAATTTTCAACTGAAATCCTATTTATCATAATATCAGCAATGTTTTATCAGTTGACACATTTTTGATACCTCTCATAGGAATTGAGAAAAATTGGCTCAAAGATAGGTGGCTCTTCTTTCAAGTGCAAAAAAAAAGAAAACAAAAAAAGCTACACTTACGAATTCTTATGTGCCCCCGTCTTGTACAGAATCACAAATGCTCCAAGTGCAGCACAAGTGAAGAAGAAGTTGATAAGAAAAAATACGGAAACCGAGAACCTTGGTGGATCATAGTGAGGCACCTTATTCCCATCACACCAATAGTTCGATGTCCCTTGGATAAGAGATAAGAGACTTGGAATCAGTGCACTTAAACCCATTCCAACAAAATATGCATTTAGAAAAGCCGGATGAAATTTCGCCATAAATGGGAGGAATAGTACACTAGATATCGCATCGACGATGGCTAAACCGAATAGGAGAAGGTAGAGAGGCCAAGAACGGACGGCGCCGAAGATGTAGCTGGTGTCGGACCAGAAGAAGCATAGTCCTGAAAATGCGTTCTATTGAGAAAAGTTTGAAATTCGAACTTGTTCGGCGGAGCGCGTTTGCATGAGATAGAATTGTATAATTTTTCGTTAAACGAAAGTTTCTGAAAATTTTTATTTTTTCGGATTTTTAAAACAATTTTTGCAAAATATCTACATATTTTTGAGTGTTTCAAGCTATCGTTCGTTCAAAAGTTTGGCGATGAAAAAAAAGAAAAAAGTTGAAAAAAGGAGAAATTTCAATTTTTAAAATATTAACGCCTAGCAATCGCGCTCTCCTTAACAAAAAACACACCGTTTTTGGTCGAAGGTCCCACAACGACAAATTAAAAATAAAGTGATTTTTTTCAATTTTTTCTTGTTTTTTTACTGATTTTCGCCGATTTTTCTGTTAAATTTCCCCGAAAAAGTCGGAAAATGAACATTTTTGACAGTGAGAAATTGACTGAAAATGCAACGAAAATCGATAATTCCGCAAAAATTTTCAGATTACGGAAGCTGTCGCTGTGGGACCTTCAGCCACGGCCATCGGCGCTTCTCAATTTTTCGAGTTTTTTTCAATAGATTTTTGTGAAAAAATCAAAAATTTCAACTTTTAAAAATCTTCGCGACGCAACCGCGCTCTGCTGTTCAAAACGTTCGAATTCACTTGCTAGGCAGAATTAAATTTTTTCTGTTGAAATTATCAGTGGAGCGCAATTGCAACTCACCTAACTGACAACAACATGCCAATATCATAAAGACAAAAATCAATGGCACAGTTGGAATAGAAACTTTGATCCCTTTAAGAATAATTGAATAGATAAGTGGTCCCAAACACGCGATCTGAACATTTCATATGGCCTAGGAAACTCCTCTTCCACACCTGAACAATAGCCGACAAGTAGCTCGGCAGATTCCATCCTTCTGGAAGTTTCGCCGTCAGCAAAGACAACTCCATCCAGACACTATTCGTTCCGATCCATGAGCTGGAGCCGAAAATTGCCACCAGGGCGAAGGTTAGCAGCGAGATTTTCATACCTAGGCTATAGATTGTCAATAGGGCGAGTTTGTCTAAAAATCTCTAATTTTAGACAAAAAAATTGTCAAAATTAGAAAACGTAGACTAATTCGGAAATTTAGGTGCAGAGATCGATAAGTATGATGGGAAAAAGAAGAAAAAATTGATAAGAGTAAAAATTGAACGAAATGGGGGAAACAGGAAAAAATATGATGCAAAACAGACACGATTACGGATTATATTTTCATTTTATAACAGGTTTTTTGGGTTTTATATTACATAGTACAATTATTAAAGGCACATTAAGGGGGGGGGGGGGCTGAGGTAAAAAGACATGGTAAAAGCTCAAAAAATCAACAACCTAAATGGGAAAAAATAAATTAAAAATCTCTTTTCCTTTTTCAAATCTACAGAAAATGATTAATAATAATAAAAAAATAAATTTGATTAGGAAATAATCGGTCGGCATTGTGGCGCAGAAGTGAACAAATGGGCAATGTTGACCAGTGGGAACATGACGGCCGAGCCGACGAATGAGCCGATCTGAAAAGAAGAGAAAGTCGGTGTGTGGGAAAGGAAGAAAAGTGTCTCACCTGAATAAAAACTCCACACCAGAACAGCCTCGATTCACTCTGATGTCCTTCTCGGAGTAGTGAGGCGAACACGACGCGAAGGTACGAGTGGAGGCCGGCAGCGATTAGAGAGCCGCCGATCTGAAAGAGAAAATCAGTTCAAATTCGCCATTTAGTCAGCTGGCGACCGCGACGCGACGCGTCCGAAATTCGCAAAATTTCAGTAAAAAAAGTGGAAATTTCATCACTTTTTAACTGACATTTGACAGACATTCCGTTTTTTGTTTAAAAGTGGGGGGACATGAAAAAAAATAATGTTCTCGAAATTCCGTTCTTGTCTGAAATTCCAGCCAAATTTTCAAAGTCGATATTTTGACCCCAAACTTTGGCAAAATGTTTCCTATAGTTTTCTCCAGTTTTCTCCAATGTTTCAGCCAGATTGGAACACTCTCCGAGTTTTCGCGGAGTTTTTTCCTTTTTTGCCGACTCCCTGAATAACCCCATAAACTCAAAAATCTCACCGAAAGAGCGCTTCCAATCGCCACCGAACCGAAAATCAAATTCGGCGACAGTGCCGCCAGGTAGACAATGAACGCGGTCATCGCCGAACTGCACGCGGTGAGCACGGCGAGCACCGGAATACTTCGAACGCTGACGAAGAATGGAAGGAACGATGAGAGTGGCGAGACGACGTTGGATAGAGTGACAGCGAAGTGATAGGTGGCCTGGAAATGAAAATGTTTTGGAGATTTTCGGCGGGAAAATTAAAAATTTCTGGAAATCGATAATTTACACAGAAATTTGTTTACCTGTGAATAAGGAAGAGCCGCATAGCTCTGTACACTCGTAATGATTCCATTCATTTGCGCATTCACAAGCGCTGTTGTGAATAGAAGGAAAGTGAATTTGACGCCAGTGATATAGTCGATTTGGTGCAGTTCCGTGTCGTGGCATATCGAGGAGCGCTAAAAATGTGTGTCGTTGTGTCCGGATGTCCATTTTTGAACATTTTGATATTTGAATTGTGACGGTGTATCTTTTCACCCAGGGATGTTTGGAATGGCTTTATCGGAATTTTCTCGAATTTCGGAAATCTTCGATTTTCGAAATTCCGGAAAATTCCGATTTTCAAAAATTCGAAATTCCGAAAATTGCGATTTTCAAATGTCCGAAATTTTCAAAAAAAATTGCAATTTTAAAAAGTTCGAAATTTCAGAAAATTCAGATTTTTTAAATTTCGGAATTTCGGGAAATTGTGATTTTCAAAACTTCGGAAATTTTAGATTTTTCAAATTTCGTTTAAAAAAATGTTTCCCGAAAAAAACAATTTCACGAAACTTCGAACTTTTGAAAATCGAAATATTCTGAAGAAAAAATTGCGATTTTCAAAAATTCTGAAATTCTGAAAACACCGATTATCAAAAATTCGAATTTCCGAAAATTCCGATTTTCAAATGTCCGAAATTTTCGAAAAATTGCGATTTTAAAAAACTCGGAATTTCAGAAAATTCCGATTTTCAAAAGTTAGAACTTTCGGAAAATTTAGATTTTTCAACTTTCGTAATTTCGGAATATTTCGATTTTCAAAACGTTCGAAGTTTTGGGAAATTTTGATTTTCCAAATTTCGAAAAACTCAGATTTTCACCGATTTTCAATTAGAAATCCCACTTCATAAAACTCGCAAAAATTGACAAAAACAAACTTCGAAACGCCGAAAAAAGTAATTCCACTCGAAACCCGCTAGGAAACTTTTCGCATGCGCCTTTGACGTACCGTACTCTGTCAAAGGCGCACACGAAAAATTTTCTTTCGGGTGTCGAGCGGAATTACTTTTTTCGGCATTGTTGAAATTTTTGCCAATTTTTCACCAATTTTTCGCGATTTTGTGGTGGGGAAATACGATTTCTTCTGAAAAATCGAGCGGAATTCCTAATATTCCTGCGGTTTTTACCTCATTTTCATCGGTTTCTTCTTCCAGTTTTTCATTTTTCGACACCGAATTTTGCGGAACCACCTGGAATTTCCGAAAGAAAATCTCATTTTGGTCGCTAATTTTATTAGTCTAGCTCGCTTTTTTCTTTTTTTTTTCTATGGAAAATTTTGTGCACTCTGTCTAGACGAACCTCGCGATACGATTCATCTAATTCCGACACAATCGCATCGATGGCTGTCGCGCCCGTCTCGTGCAAATTTATTGGCGTTTCATCATCATCATCAATGTCTTCTGGCGACGTCTTCTGACTCTTCTTCAGCGGCGTTCCCTCATTTGGCTCTTTCCTATTTTTTCTAGAATTCTCAGCGTGCGTATGAGCTCCGGATCGGTAGAGAATGATGAAAGCGGCTAGTGCAACGCAGGTGAATGTGAAAATGATGAAAAAGAAAATGGAAACGGAGAAATTCGGAGGAAATCTCTCCGCGACACCATCATCATCACACTTGAATTTCGATGTTCCTTGAGCAAGAGAGAGCAAACTGGGCATCAGAGAGCTCAGACCCATTCCAACAAAGTAGGCGTTCAAATAGGCCGGATGAAATTGTGCCATAAATGGCATAAAGAGCACATTCGACATGGCGTTTACTATCGCTAGACCGAAGAGTAGAGAGTAGAGAGGCCATGAACGGGCGGCGCCGAACACATTGGAGTAGTTGTTCCAGAAGAATGCGAGGCCGAGTTGGCAACAACAGGCGAGGGAGAGAAGAGCAATGATCAGTGGAGGTGTTGGGATGGTGAAGGATTTGACACCTTTGTGAAGGATAGTGTAGATCAGGGGAACGATGCAAGCGATCTGAATTTTTCACTTTTTTTTAAATTTTCAGCCTTTTGCCTCACCTGCACCACTCCCGCTAAATAACTGGGCAAATTCCAGTGCTCTGGCAATTCCGAAGTCAGCAGCGGTAGCTGCATCCACACACTGTTCGTTCCCATCCATGAACTCGAGCCGAAAAGCGCGACCAAAATGAATGTGGTTGGTGAACAACCCATTTTTGACCTGAAAAATCGATGGTTTTGGTATCAAATTGAAGAGAAAAAATTCTAGATTATTGTGAAATCGAAATATGTCGTCATTTGTTGACTTTGAGCTTGTTTTTTAGTGAAAAACGCGAAAAATACGTTGATTAAAAGTGAAAAATGCAAGCGCGCTCCATTGAAATGTGGGCAATTTTTTGGGGGGAATTTGAAAAAGAACACCTAAAAAATGCAATTTTTCTAGAATTTGTGAAAAAATTAGTTGAATTACCGAAGAAAAAGCTTGATAAATGCAAATTTATGGCGGAAAACCAAAAACAAAAACTGTGGCAAAACGGCAACTTAGTGTTGCCTACAATGTATAAACTGATAACACACATGTTGTTTTCCTTATCAGGTCAGAAGATTTATTGATTGTTTTGCTCGGGTCCTAAAAAGAAAATACTTATTTTTCTTGACGATTTTTTTCATCATTATAAGCTGCGAAGTCTTGTAAATGCGCTCAAATTCAAATACCGTATACTACAGTAAAGTTAGCGTTGGTCTCGACGTGAAGGCTCCAAATTGAACCGCTAAATAATTGGTTTAACGAACTCAGTGATTTTTCCGGAACTTTTTCAAAAATAATTGTTTCCCGCGTTTTTTTTCCGACGAAATGCAGGTAAGCTTTCGCTTCGAGACCAACGCTTATTTTCCTGTAGCGTTATTGTCGGATTAAAAAAAGTGACACCTGAAAATCTGGGGGTACGACGAATTCGAACGTTTTCAAAATCGAACAGACCTAGAATCGAACTGATTCAATTCAGAACAGTCCTTTTTTCGTACACTTACCAGAACAGAACGCGGACAGAATCGAACTGTTACAAGTTCGAACTGGTAAAGGGTCGAACTGTCCCAAATTGGAACGCTGTTTTGTGTGTGCTTTCAATCGCGCTC